TGAAATGAAACTGAGGTTCTGGAGCGCAGGCGACACCCTCAAAAGCATATTTTAAAATGTTCCATAGATTGCTGCTTCAGCTGATCTTCAACACTTGCTTTCCTCTATCTCCACCTCTCCTCTCCTTTCACTGTCAGCTCAGGAGAAATCAGTTTATGGTGCCCATGATAACTTAAGAACAAGTATGTGATGTTGCACCAAAGTTGTTTTGTAACCACACACAATGAAAGCTTAAAGGAAGCAAATTTGTGTTTTGTGACCTCTGTTTAAGCTAGCTGGTGAAACTGAAAGTCCTAGAAACAAAAGCTGAACATGTGCAGGATGATGTTTTACTTGGGTCTGTCTACTCTGCAGCTGGGAATGAACCTCCCATCACCATTGGCTAGAGTATAGACCTTGCAGCTCGGGCTCTGAAGCCCAGCTGGCCCTTTGTTCTGAGCTCAGGTGGCTAGCTGGTCTCTGTGGGAGCTGCAGCATCCATGCTGTTAAGCTGGTGGGAGTCTGTCTCCCTGGACTGGGAGGCTCGCTTTTAGCTGCAGTGTAGCTTTGACTCCCCATAATGGTTTCCATTAACTTTTTGTCCCAGTATGTCAGTGACGCAGGCCATGGAGTGGTTGATAGAACATGCAGATGACCCCACAGTTGATGCACCACTTCCAGGTCAAAGCTCATTAGAAGCTGCCTCTGATGCGGGTGCCTCCTCTGCTGAGGCAATTGCTGGTCCTAGTTTGGAAGCTGGTGGTGAAGAGCCCAAGGATGAGCTGACAGAAATATTCAAGAAGATCCGCAGGAAAAGAGAATTTCGTCCTGATCCACGAGTATGTGTTGTCTGTCTTACTCTTCACTAAATGGAATGCGAAGGAATCATTGTGGGGACACAGTGGGCTCCAAATAACTGTTTACTGACTATATGCAACGTATGGATACTTGTGTATACTGCTGCGCTGAGAGGATTCTGGAGGTTTTTGAAATACAAGACAATCAGGACCTTTAGAAGTCTCTCACAGTAGCTAAAGGGTTACTGCCCAGTACATAGACCCCATAATCTCGAACACAGGTGCACCTAAATTACCAGCATCGTTAGGTCTGCCCCAGTGTTGGGACTAACCTCTTGACAAAGCCGTTTGTAATCACAAGTTGGTCCCACCATTAAAGCCTGAGGAAATAAGCAGTTGTGTGTATTGGGGAAGAAGTACCCATAGGGTATTTATTATGGTGCCCTGGAGACTCTTATTGTAGAAAGATACCAAAGAGCATTTAAGCTCTTGAGTTTGCAGAAATTACAGTGAAACGTCTTTTCAAACTGTTTATCTGATCTGTTATAAATATGCAGAGACAATCCCTATTCAGAACAACTTAGGTGCTTATTTTCCCTTAAACTCACCAGGAGATGCTGTTTAGAATTCAAGGTCTGCTTTCACCATGCAAGGTTTCCTGAGACTTTGGCAAGATTCATCAACGACTTAATAGCTAATATTAACACATGAGTAAAATTACTTATCTGAAAAAGACCTTTTAAAATAATCCGATACTGTGAATATCAGATACTTCAGATACACAGTTCTAAATATTGAATGTACTCCATTCTAGTCTGACTAGAACTAGCATATGGATGTGATATTGTGTGTTTTATTGCCAGATAACCATAAGCCTTGGCTATGGAGCATAAAGTACAAGTTCTAAAACCCCATCTCCAGCATCCCAATTATCTGACTACATACCAGACGATGGCTGTGTTCTCATTACTTGTATGTTTTGGAAATGCAGCACTAATTCTATTCTCTTGCACCAGTAGAAATCTAGAGCAATTCCAGTGAATTCTAGATTTACACCAGTGTAACTAACAACAGAATTTGGCTTATAAACTCTGCTGCCTGCTTCCCTTTAAGTCAGTAGTTGTTCCCTTTGGTCTTGCCTCCTCTCTAATATTTCATAATACATTTCAGATTATGCTTGCTCTTTTCTTACCTTTTTTATTCTGCTATTTAGTAGTCCAATCTAAATCATGAATATTACAGACAATTAACCTTCTTTAAAAGACCAAGCTAAATACACTTGATTGCTGCCAATCTACTTTTGCTAAACTTGTTTTGCCAGTTCATCTTTCAGATGTGCCCACCATTTAACAGTCTTATCACTAACTAACCTGGGGATTAAATTTGTCTGTAAATTGTTTTCTTCCATGAGGAAGCTCACCAATATATGAAATCTCAGTTTTCCAACATTGCAATGAAATAATGTAGGAGTGCAAAGTGGATTAGTTTCGTATCAGTGTTTAGAAATTATTTGTGTAGCACCATAAACATCTGGAATTTTTGAAATTATGAGAACAGTTAATAAAGGGAAGCCCCTTAAACACAGGAGTGAAATCCTAGACCAGCTGAAGTTAATGGGAGTTTTTCTCTTTAATAGAGCTAGGTTTTTACTCTGGGATAAAATCCTTGGTTCCTTTTGCCTAGGCAGACTAGATGATGGCTGAGTTTTCCCAAGAGAACTGTTCTCAGAAGATGCAAATACCTTTCTGCTTTTGTGAGTACATAAAATAGGAAACAGGAATAAAACTATCCCATAGCTTGAAACAGAAGTGGAAACCGAAACATCTGAAGAGGAGTACGATGAGATACTAGGAATGATTGATGGAAACAGCAGCTTGTCTTGTCCTAATTCCAGGTTAATTCCTGAAGGAAGCTGCATGCTACAGCCAATATTGCTTAGTTACACAGCTGCAACTCTCTCTGAAGTCAACCTGATCTGACCCTTTGTAATTGAGATCAAAATCTACCCCTACAAATCTATAGTGGTAAAGGGGGAGTGGCAGTACAAAATAAGCTAGTTTCATTATGTGAGTTAAAGTACGGTCCCATTTAAAATGTGGTGTAAACTTTAACCTACTTCTTAAGAGACTCTTTATCCTGGCTTCCTCCCCATCACAGTCCTTTCCTAAATGTCATATTGCTAAATCTAAAATTAGTGCCACAGCCTGCAAATGGTACATGTACTATAACTGAACTCCTAACATTGTAAAACCTCGTTTAAAAACAGCGCATTCTCCTTGTAATATATCCGTTATAGACACAATTAAGGTATGTGACCAGAGAGAAACAAGAAAGGGGAAAGAAAAAGGAGTCCTTCCAGTGCTTGTTTGGTGTGTGGGAACTAGGAATGGGGACGTGCACCCCTTGAGTGTTAGAGGTTGCATTTCTTTGTAGATAATTTTGTGTTGGTGCTGCTGAGTTTGCTCAGATGTCCCGTGTAAGCAGTAGGTGCAGGGTGGAGTCTACTTCCAAATTACAGTACCAGGAAAGAGAGAGGGTTGTAGTGAAAGGAATCTGTTTTCTTCTTTAAGCCCCAAGGATGCTGACATGGAACACTATAATAATGAGGGGTCATTCAGTCATTTCTCTTACACCTGTGCTTTGGAACAGTGTAGTAACGCTTAGTGGTCTTAATTTTCAAACAGCTCTGTATAGGGTTGGTTGCCAGATAGTTTCACAAAAAATACCGAACATGGTGGGGGAAAAAATGGGGACCAAAGTTGTTGGTCAAAATAAAAAAGTCACAGCACCTTTAAATCCCACACTCCCCCCCCCCCCCCCCCCCAGGTGTGGCAGGGGAAGAATGTCCCAAGTGGCCTTCCGTCCGATATTTTACATGTCCGGTATTTTCTGTTTTTCTTTTTACCGAACAGAAACCGCAGATACTGGACTGTCCAAGCCAATACCGAACACCTGGCAACCCTAGCTCTACTGGGAATTTTGACAGTTACTTTAATAGAAGCAGGATGTGGCTGCTGCAGTTTTATTAGTATTAGTATTATTAGCTGATAGACTTTTAAAATCTCTTGAACCTCTGCTAGCCAACAGTTGGCACCCAGGAAAAAAATAGTCGAAAGGGAATACAGGCAGTCCCCGAGTTACGCGGATCCGACTTATGTCGGATCTGCAGTTACGAACGGGGTTTGCTGCCCGTCTCCCTGGTCTGCTGGAGACCAGCAGACCAGGGAGA